CTTAAAAGAATGACAGAGTCCAACAGCAATAACTACTAGAAAGATCCTCAAACTCTAATGATAAAGATGAAACTGTTTAAGCTTCCAATTAAAAAAAAAAAAAAAAAAAAAAAAAGAAGCTACCAGCAATGAGTAGACAGACACAGGGATTTCTCATCAGGAATATCAAAATACTAAACAGTGTAGCTGCCAACAACTGCAGATGCAGCCCACACTACTAAAACTGAACTACTTCTTTCCTATCTAATCAAACACAAAACTACAAAACATTCAGTCAAGATAACAGGAGACAGAGGTAGGACTAAAACAACTTGTATCTTAGAGACTGTATCTTCAATACTACTACTAGCAGCTAGCAATTCCTGTGTACTAACTAGGTGCCAGGTTCCCTTTTATTAAATTCATTAATCTTCATAAAGTCATGAGGTAAAGATAGCATTATTCCAGGTTTACAGAGAGAAGGGATCTTGCATAAACTACGGTTTAATCCCTTCGACTATTCTCTTGCATTCTCTTGACCACTGACATTCACATTACATCTAAATTAGTGTAACAGCCTGGTTTTTTTTTTTTTTTAAAGGAAATAAATGGCTTTATGAAATAAAATGCAAACTTTGATCTAAATGCTTTATTTACTTTTCTGATTAAGAAAAATACTATGGGGAGGAAGGAGGGAAGTACAGGGGAGATACAAAGTGAATAAACTAATTAATAAAAATAATTAAATAATAATAAAAAAAGGAAAAATACTACAAAACAAACTGTAGGACATGTGCTTTTATTAGGGACAAAAAATTTTTCGGATTTAATAAAGTTTTATTTCTCCAAATGTACAGCTGACTGAACCTGCTCATGCATCTTCACCCACAGCTGCGGCATCTCCACCCTTTGTGTTTCTGGTGTAAGTTACTTGGGCTCTGTACTTTGAAACCATCTTGGTAAGGCCTTTACTAAGTAGCTCCTGAAAGGCTGCCCCTGGCCAAGGAACTGCTAATCTTCAGTCTAGTCCTATTTGACAACTCTACAAACTATGTAAGGAAGTCTCCAACTATTACAGACAAAATAAAGGGTGATTTTTTCTTTCTTTTTTTTTTTTTTTTTTTTTTGCTTGCTTGAAACTTGTCCATTCAAAAGCACTTCATCTCTATAGTTGAGACTGACACCTACTGGGCTAAAACAAACATCACCAATGATGCCACTGTATCAAAGACAAATATCAAAAATGTGCCTTGACTGATGGTGAGGGATACAGGGCTAGGGTTTGAACGCAAAGCCTCATATAATCCAGGTAAACACTCTACTACTGTACCCTAGTTCCAAAATCTGTAGATTTCAATTGGTCTTACATGGAAATATATATTTAAATTATAAACTGTTTTTCAAATTAATTTTACGTCAGTGATTTATACTGACGTCAACTAAAAAATGGTATGTTATCCTCAGGGCTCTTGTCCATGACTCTTCCCTCCAATGTCTCTAGACCACTGTATGACTATAAACTTATAATGCAACATGTTATACTATACATATCTCTGACTTAAAATGAATGGGGTCATATCCTGATAAACTCACTGTTAAGTTGAACATATACATGAAATATACCTACTCTACCGAGTAGCAAACTTAGCAAAAGTTCTCATGTCACTCTGTCTATAAGGTCAATGACAAAACTTTATTCACTCTATCCATTATAACACTGAGTGTGCTAAATGATTAAACCATGAAAAAGGTTCTTAAAGATAATAAACTTATCTCAATCCATTTTTCTTTCTTTTGTAAACAAGAACTGAACCTTTAACCCACTCTTCAATCAGATCAATTTTGTCTCCCAAGGGATATTTGATAATGTAGAGGCAGCTACAGCTTCCAACCTCGAAGAAGCTGTGCCTCTGACAGTTCAACAAGAGAGAGATGCTGATAAATGTCCCTACACTGAACAGGACAACCTTCCGCAGCAGCAACAATTTCAGACCCAAAAGTCAATGCTGCCAACATTGAAAACTCTGTTCTGCTACTATCATCTTTCCTAGACAATATTAATTACTGAGAAAAACAAGTTTATATTAAACTGAGGGGGGTGTTAGTTGTTTTTGTCGCTTGTTTTGTTTTGTTTTTTTGAGATAGGGTTTTTCTATGTAGTGTTGGCTGTCCTGGAACTTACTCTAGCCTTGAACTCAGAGATCCATCTGCATCTGCATCCACCTCCTGAGTGCTGGAACTAAAGGTGTGTGCCCCACTACCTGGCTCTAAACTGAATTTGTAATTCAATACTGTCCACAAGTAGTTTGTGTTGTTTTAAAGCTTTATTTTCCACAAACACTGTATATTGGGTATAGATTGGCTTACCTTTGTAAACCACAGAAAAGGTATGCTTTCACTTTCTAGACCTTCACCAACAATGCTGAACCACTTAAGGAAATCACAAGTTATAGGACATATGCTGCCCAAGCATCAAACACCTAACTACTGGTGACCTATAGTTATCATACCATATCATATCTGGGGTCATAGTGATTCCATATTTAAGGTAAACAGTCTATATTATGTTTCAGGCATAACTACACCTGACTACTAAAAAATATTCAAAGAAAAATTTAATACAGTCATTTATATTACATTTAGGGTACTCTCCTGACTTTCACAGAAATTATACATCAGAAGTTTATAGTGGATCTGGAGATAACTCAGTAGGTAAGAGCACTGACTGCTCTTCGAAAGCACTAAAGTTTGATTCCCAGCATCCACATGGCGGCTCACATCTTAGCCTCCAGCGCTAGGAAACCCAAAGGCTTCTTCTGGTCTTCACAGGTACCATGAATCCATGTGGTGCAGACAAAACAGCCATACACATAAAATAAAATAAAAATTATTTTGAAAAAGCTTATATGTTATATATAAAATTCGTAAGAGTAAAAGCATTACAGACGGACTGTCATAGGAAGAGTTCATTAAATCTGATTACCCAAGCATCATTAGGCTTGTGATACCCAGCAGGTCTGTCTGTGCAATGGGACACTGGCTCTTTGCAAGGCTGCTCCATATAGCTCAGGTTTCAGCTACCCTCATCTTTTTCCACAGAGGTCATCTCTGAACTCCACTCACCTTCTCCCCCAAACTAACATGGCAAAAAGCTGGTTTATGTCTGGTTTTAATATCTGTAATATCTTTAGATTTGTATGGTCTTGTTCAAAATGTAAGCTTCACAGGCTGGTGAGATGGCTCAGCTTACCACCAAGCCTGATGACCTGAGTCCAGTTTTTAGGTCCCATATGGCTGAACAAATATCAAGCTACTTTAAAAATTTGCTCCTTGGCATATGAAATTTTACCACATGTATAATCACTTTTACAATCTGGAGAGGTGAAGGAATAAAAATTCTCATTTGTTTCTGTCAGCCAAACAATAAGAGATTTTAGACCAACAAAGGACATATAAAATGACAAACTAAACTAGATGAAATATTAAATAAAAGTGCAAAAGCCCACAAACAAAAAATGGCTAACAAAGCTAACCAGAAATATTCTTAGAAAAAGCACATACACAGGAAATATTAATGACTTAGCATGAAAACTCTAAGACTATGTGGTCATACTACCACTAAACAAAGAAAATTCCTGAAATGGCTCCACAACTTGCTATCAAGAAGTTCTAGTTTCTTGCTATCCCCTTTCTGCGGGCTATTCCAATCTCTTTTCAATCGACCGCTCACCTCAACTCCAACATCTACAGCAGATATGCTGCCCTATGCTGCCATCTGCAGAGCAAGCTTCACACTAAAAACTGCGGCTGAGAATATGTGGATATGTGAAAGAGGCCAAGGCAAAGGTTGAATAAACTAAAGTAAGTGACACAATCATGCTGGGCAAAGAGAAAAAGATGGAACAGAGAGATGATAAGAACATCGTTAGAGGAGTGGAGATAGAGCTCTGTGGCAGTGCTTGCCCAGCATATTTGAGGCCCTGGGTTCAATCTATACCCAGACACAAAAATACAGCTCATACACTCTAAAGATCAAACCAATATGGCATAGCACACAACTATACAACTGTCATAAAAGAAAACACGAATTTCTTTCTTACAAAATTTGCTAACTGGAAGATTCCCAAGAGAATACCAGTCACCAACACATTTTTGCATCATTCATCAGCTTGTGACATTAATAAAAAAATCCAGAGACGGTGACAAAGTACAGGTGAGGGAAATGTGCTTACCACAATATCTACACTGTATGAAATAATCTACCATAATATAGTCCCAGAAACAATGAAACTGTCTGGTTCTGTTTATGAGACAATGCTTCCCCATGCAGCCCTGAGTGACTTCAAGTAGCTATATAAATCAGGCTGGCTTTGAAGTCACTGGATCCACCAGCCTCTACCTCATAAGTGCTAGAATTAAAAAATGAGCCATGATGTCCAGAGCCAATCAATAATAAAACTTTAAAAAAATTAAAACTAAGAAAATAGCCACATGGTTAAAAAAAAAAATAAATTCTATTTGGTGCAACTGAGATATCAGCATATGAAGGCAGGAACTAGGGCTAGAGAGATGTCTCAGTGGTTATAAACACTGCCTGTCTTCCAGAGGTCCTGGGTTTGATTCCCATCTCCCACATGGTGGCTCACAATGATCTGTAACTCTAGCAGCAGGGGATCTAACACCCTCTTCCGGACTCTGTAAGGCATCAGGCATGCAAATGGTGCAAAAACATGCATGCCATCAAAAACACTCATAAAAATATTTAAAAAAAATCACAAACAGCTACATTGTAATTTCATGTACAAATGACTTAATTTGTAATTTATCTTTCAAGTCAGAATTTCAAACACATTCTAAGATGTGAAATAATATAGGTTTTTTTTAGCTATGTGCTAAGAGACAGTAATGATAAAAAACACCAACACAATATTAAATTACAACTATAAGCATGATAAGACTTATTACCTTAAAACTGAAATATGCTTCCAAACTTTAAGAAGTATCTGCACAAAATGGCTCACCTTCATCCACAGAAAACTGACAGCTTTTATCATTGAAGAATAGTATTTTCTTTTTATCAGGACGATTTACAAATAGTATCTGGTCCCCTAAAGCCTTAAAGATAAAAAAAAAAAAATGTTTAATTAACTTCATATTACTCATTCAAAAATATACACTATACATAATATATACGACACATGGCCAGGCATGGTGGCACATACCTATAATCCCAGCACTCAGGGAGGCAGAGGCAGGCAGACTTCTAGGAGTTTAAGGACAGCCTGGCCTACAAAGCAAATCCTAAACAGCCAAGGCTACACAGAAAAAAAAAATGTTATGTATGTATGTATATGTGTGTATGTGTGTGTGTTTGTGTGTGTGTGTGTGTGTGTGTGTGTGTGTGTGTATATATAAAACTCATACTACAAAAAGGACATTCAATTTAGAACAGTACCTGAGGACTCAGCTACTAGAATGAGAAAAGAAGGACTTTATGGAAGCCATAAAAACATTATACTCCAGAATGCATTAGACAATAAACATGTGGAGTTGGAGAGATGGCTCTGTGGTTAAGAGCACTGTTTGCTCTTAAGCTCTTCCAGAGGTCCTGAGTTCAATTTCCAGCAACCAAATGGTGGCTCATAACATCTATACCCTCTAGTGCCCTCTTCTAGAATGCAGGTACACATGCAAATAGAGCACTCATACACATAAATAAATAGAATCTTTAAAAAAGAAAAGACACTTGTGTAACAAATGGGGGAGAATTTATCAAAAAACAAAAACTAAGAAAAAATGACTAGGAAAACTTAAAAGCTTCAAAAAACAATCTCTAAAGTAAAACCTTCACCGCATAAGTTTAACAACAATTACTGTGTGAATCTACAGGTTGGATCTTGAATATCTCCTAAAGACCCACATTGTAAGACATGGCCTCCAGGGTGGTACAATGAAGTCCTCAGATCACCAAGGGTGTGAATCTGAAAGAAACTGGGAGCCCTCGGTCCCTTCTTTTCTCTGTTCCTTCCTGGGCATGAAGGTGGTGCTTTTGCATTACAACATGCTCCTGTCATGGCATACTGTCTCATACAACTGAGCGTGAGCTAAAACCTCTAAAATCATATGCTAAAACAAGCCTTTTGTTGAGGAAGCTGGTTTATGTCAATTGTTTCACTGTGGTGCCAGAAAGCTGAGTAACACTGAGGTAAACTTCATCATTAACAGAAAATGAGCTTAAGGGTTGGGGTAAGTATGGTGGTGTGCATCTGTATGACAGTACTTGAGATGTGAATAGGAGGATCAGGAGTTCAAGGCCAGCCTTAGGTATGTGAAGTCTTGTCTTAAAACAAAACAAACAAACAAACAAAAAAACCAGCTTGGTGTGGTAGCTTTAATCCCATCACTCATTCTGTGAGAACAGCCTGGTTTACAAAGAGTTCATACTAGGCAGAACAATATAGTGAAACCCAGTCTCTCCTCACATCCCCTTCCCCCAAAAACATAATCTCATTATCTAGGAGACTTTTGGTATAACTAAGAAGTCCAACTTACATATAACTCAATTAACAAGATTCTGGGTAAACCGAAAATACAGCTCAGCGATACAGCACTTGGCAACAAGCAAGTTTGCAAGTGAGTCTCAAATTTAATTTAAAAAAAAAATGTAATCTTCATGACCAGCACTTTTACTGCAAACCCTTTAGGACATCAGAATTTGTTATTAAGCAATGATTTTATTATGTGTTAGTGCCTCTAGTTATCTAACACTACTGTTGAAAGGGCTTTTGATTTCAAATACAAGAGAAACACTAATGTCTTTGAGAAAAACTTCCCAGAAATCTGAAGGATCAAATCACGATGCAATTACATAAAAACCCAAACCCAAAAAACCTGCTAACATTACACAAAAATGATCATTCTCTCTCCTGCTCTGTGGCACACAGCAGATCTCATATCTCAAGAAGTGTTTTTTAGATTATTTTACGTGCACGAGTGTTCTGTCTGAACGCATGTATGTGCATTGTGTGTGGCCCTAGTGCCCTCAGGTCAGAAGACGGTATCAGATCCATAGGAAGTGGAGTTAGAGACATTGCTGTGAGCCACCATGTGGGTGCTGAGAACAAACCCAGATTTCTTAACTGCTAAAGCCATCTATCTCTCAGGCCCCAAAAAGTTTAAACCCACAAAGTTCAAATTTTAACTGGATCACTAAAACCCCATGTATTTACAGGATAAAGGATTAAAAAAAAAAAAAAAAAAAAAACACCTCATTTTTTTTTTCTTTTCCCTTTTTGTTTCTATTTCTTTTTTTTTTTTTTTTTTTTTTTTTTTAAGTTTAAAACTACAAAGAGAAGACTGGAAATATGACGTAGTGGTTAAGAGCCCTTACTGCTCTTCAAAAAACCCAAGTTCAGTTCCCAGCACCAACATCAGACAACTCACACTGGAGCAAGCTTCAGCTCCAAGGGATCCAACACCCCATCCTTTCCTTGAGTAACCACACAACATAGGCAGATACGCACAGACACCTACATTAAAAACAAATATATCTTAAAAACATAAGAAGCTGGGCACAGCAGTACATACAGCATTCAGGAGGTGGAGGCAGACAGATCTCTGTGAGTGCTAGGACAACCAAGGCTACATAGTGAGACTCTGTCTCATGAAAATAAAGCAAGAAAAAAAAACATCGTTACTAATTCAAATTATAGTTACAATGTAGAAGGAAAAGAGAGATTACCTTGACAGCTTTCTGGGAATTAGGCAACCCCTCTTCTATGTCTTCTAGCAGAATTCCTCCTAATCCTCGCTGGTCATGGTTATCTAAAAGCCTGAGTAAGGCCTTCTTATCTTTCAAGTTGTACTTTGGCTTGAAGGCGTATTTCCCATCTACTACTTCAATTTTGGGATTGTTTACTAAAGCCTGTAAAATTAACACAATTTGGGTATGTTTATAAAAGAAAACCACATGTCAACACTAGCATATTGAAATCTCTTATGAGCATAAACTAACGCATCTAAAACACTAGACATCTAGGAACCCAAAACCACCAGTGAATCAGCATAGAAAAAACATTATTTGCATACGTTCTTTAGAGAGAAACTAATTTATCACAACTTCTCTGAAGAACTTTTACTCTCTTAGAAGACAAACTGAGTAAAATCAATAAAATTCCTATTACCAAACATAGTAAACCAGGTATTGGCCACCCCTCCTCCAAAATACAGTCTATATCTTATTCTGACGCTACAATAGGAGAACAGCACCAAGACCAAAAAAACAAAAATAAAACAAAAAACCATCAACTAGAATTGGCAAGTGTGGAAAGAATTGAAGAGGATCAGACTAATACACATGGGAACTTTACCTGTAATTTCAGTAGAACACAATTAGTGAACTTAATAACATCCCTACAAGTTTTCTTGTGTAGCTACTAGCAGAAAAAAAGTTCTTTAAGAACAGAGCAACTAGCCTGGTGCTACAGACCTGCACTTTTAGCTACATGGGAGGCTGAGGCAGGAAGATTACACAGTCAAAACCACTGAGGTTACAGAGAAAGCTCTGGCTAGGCTGTGAAACTTAGAATTGCCTCAAAAAAGCTAAACTAGAGATACAGCTCAGTAAGTGCTTGACTAGCATCTGTGAAATCCTGTGTTCGTCCCACACTACAAAGAAGAAAAAAAAGAAGCCTACTTAGTTCTTTCTCTTACTTCTTTCTCTAAAGAAAGAAGGTTAAAAAAAAAATAGTAATAGGTAAAAATAATATTTTAGTGGGCTGGCGACATGGGGCAAAGTTCGTTAAAAGCACTTGCCACAAAAGCCTAATGACCCACGTTCAAGCCCAGGTAAAGGTGGGAAGAGATAACCAACTCCACAAAGCTGTCCTTGGTTCCCACATACGCCCACCTACACAGCCCTACGCTAATAATAATGATAAATAATTTTTTAAAAATTTAAAACTTTAATGTTGCTAAAAATATAAAATTTTAGGCAAGTTCTGCTTCTAGCAACAGCCAAGTAACTTAATAGAAGACATGACTGTTAATGATTTGTACTAGGTCAAATTATTTTATAGTATGCAAATCAAGAACTACACTTTGCTTGACAAAATAAATTAATTTAATTAGGCCAGTCATGGTAGCATATGTCTTTGATCCCAGCATTTGGGAGGCAGAGGCAAGAGGGTCTCTGTGAAAACCTGTCTCTAATTAAAAAAAATGAATAAAGTATTATGTCTGGTTGTTTAGGGGGGGTTATTCTGTTTTTATAGTGTTTTAACACTACACACCACAGAACTAATGATGTTCTTGAACTTAGGATCCTCCTGCCTTTACCTCCCAAATGCTGGGACTACAGACATGGACGACCATATCCAGCTTATATTAGGTGCTGAGACTCATCACCGGTCTTGAAAAGTAGTATTCTTCAGTATCAATTAAACTCTACAGAAGCAAATAGCCAAATAGATAAGATGCCATTCATTTGCAAACTGGTATGATCAGTGACTTTAGGCTTTGTTCAAACAGTGCATATTTAAACATAAGATTCATATTATTTTTCCAAATAACTAGAAATAACTCACTTATCAAACCATAAAGTATTGTCCCTAACACCTTAAGGTTTAAATTCTCTAAAGCATATATGCAATATTTAACTTATGACCATAGGAAATTATGAGTTTGAAAATTCAAAATACTATTTATAAAAATAAAAAAATTGGTGCACTGACTTAACAACTTCAATGTATTCTTAGAAGACTTTCTAAAACAAACAAAATTATATGAAAACCAACAGCCGAACAAATTATAAAATGTGTACACTGAAATTAAAGAAAAACTCTATATCAAGTCTTTTAAGAAAAACTAAGCCGGGCACAGCGGTATACGCCTTTAGTCCCAGCACTCAGGAGGCAGAGGCAGGAGAACAGCTGTGAGTTTGAGGCCAGTCTGGTCTACAAGTGGAGTCCAGGACAGCCAAGGCTACACAGAGAAACCCTGTCTAGAAAAACAAAAACAAAAGAAAGTAAAATATATTATCAGATTACACGATTTAAAAAAAAAAGTAAAAAATGTTATCAGATTACAGGATTAAAAAACAAAAACAAAACAAAACAAACAAACAAAACATTCTGAGGCAGGCCTGGTGACTCATGAAGTTAAAGCACAAAGTACCCCTGAGTCTGAAGTCAGCCTGGACTACACAATGTCAGCCTGAGTGTGAGCGCATGCTCACGTGTGCACACACACACAACCAAGAAAACACCTCTACAGGTTGGGGATGACTCAATGGTAGAGTGATTAATCAATAGTGGAATGTTCTAGCACATGCTGGGCCCTAAAAAAAGAACCAACTCTAGACGGTGGCAAATAACCCTTTTCATAATTAACTGATTTTATTTCTAAAAGTTTTAAGACTATTCTTACCTCAGTCATTAGCCATTGTTTCTGCTTGAGTCCAATATCTAAGTGCTGTGTTTCATCCAAAATTTCTTCTAAAGTTAAAGGATGTGTATCTCCTCGCTGATGTCGTGTCTATTAAAGGAAGTTTTCAAATGCATTAAGTCAAAGTCATACATAAACTAATCTTTCAGGAATGTACAACATGCATTACCTAAGGTAATATGAATACCAAGATCAAAAACATGAGATCATATAAAACTAGCTTGATAAAAATCAAATGATAAACTGAAGGGGAGAAAAAAAAAAATCACAAACTAACCTCACGCCAGGTGTGAGGGTAGACACCTGTAACCCCGGTGTATGGGATGCTGAGGCACAAGAATCACAAGTTCAAGACCAGCCTAGGCTACATGATGAGTTCAAGTCCAGCCTAATCTATACAGCTCAGTGAACAGAGTGCTTGCCTAACAGACACAGCCTCAACAGGCATGGCAAACCTACAACCCTAGCACTGGAAGCTGGGGGCAGAAGGGTCAAAGCTATCCTCTCACCAGTGAATCTGAGGCCACCAGGTGGTTGCCTAGCATGCACAAACCCCTAAGTGTGATCTCCAACACTCTCCTTCCATGCCTGACACCCAGACACAGGTTATTTTGGCCCCACCTAGAACATTCCAAATTCTGATATTGAAGAGTTTAAGTTAGCCTGAATATAACTCTATTTTGAAGTAAAAATCTTGACTGGGAACTGAATTCAGGTACCAGGAAATATCACAGAATGTACACCTGGCAGAAAACAAAGTTAACTCTCCTAGTAACAGCCTCCAGGAAATATAACAGAATAAATGCTTCATAGAAAATAAAGACAAACTCCCTGGCAATAATCAATGGGAATCGGTTGAGAATCGGGTGGGAAAATTCTCCCCAATGTTCAGATATGGTTTAGAAAAATAGCCATTGTGATTATATGCCTTAGCCATTGTGATTGTGTGACTCAGAAAAGGTCATCCCGCCCTGCTAAACCTTACCCAATTTTATAATGCCAAGACTTGTGCCCCCTTGCTTGCTGCCATGAAAACCCCCTGGTCACAGACTTTCCCTTTAAAAATCCTCAGAGCTCAGGGTTCCACTTCTCTACTGCTATGTCAGTGAGACTTGGGTTTGATTGCTCTCGTAATAAAGCTCTCTTGCAATTGCATCGAGTCATATCCTGGTGGTCTCTGAGGGTCCTGTGTACCTGGCATTACAATATAATTTGTAAAACTGATCAGTTCCCCATTTAAACAAGTTCTCCTCTTCCAATCCTAACACACCTCAATGCCACTCAGTGTTATCCAAGAGCACACTGTTCTTAGGCGAGAGCATGTGTTAAAAACAAAGAGAACAGTGGCCAAAAAAACAAACAAAAATCCAAAATTTTAAATCTAAGTAATTCTCTTTAGGATTCCCAAAGTTCATTCCTTAACTTGAAAAAAAAAAAAAAAAAACCCACATATTTAAAGAGTTAAAGTAGTATCAGTTAGAAAGCCATTTCCTTTAAGTAACAAAGATATTTTTCAGGACTACCAAGCTATTCTGATTATGCCAAATAAAATCCATTAAAAGGGGTGTAGGGGGGTGTGTGTGCTGTGTGCGTGCGCATGTTTAAAACCAGAGGCAGGTAGATCTCTGTAAGTTCTAGGCTAGCCGGAGCTACACGGTAATAAGATCATGTCTTAAAAAAAAAAAAAAAAAAAAAAAAACGGGGGGAGGGGAGTTGGGGAGAAAGATTGCTTAGTAGGTAAAGGTGCTTGCTGCCTAAACTGATGATCTGAGTTTGTTCACTGGAACTCACAATGTGGAAGAGGGAAACCAACTTCTCAGAGTTATCCTCTGACCTGACCTCCTCCATAAGCACTGGCCTTGAAACTTGTGCTTCTCATTCCCACACAGGGGATCAAAACGGTAAGTCACCATACCTGGCATGGTCTGTTTTGCCTTGCAGTGCTAGGGATAGAACCTGGGGTTCTTACACAAGCACTCTATCACTGGGCTATACAGCCCCTAACCCTGCCATCTTGACTCATTTTCTAAAGGTTAAGAAAGCAAATGGTTAATGATCTGATACCAAATCTTTTGACAAGTTAGGTAGTTTCCACTGTTTTGTTTTCACAAAACTGTGTCAGATTACAGATGTCTATGGGTGTAGTTCAAAGTGGTTTTTGGCATATAACTTGGAAGACTGTTTATCACAAAATTTCCATTAGAATTAACTCTATGAGCATTCATTTCTTTGCACTTAAACCTACGAAATCTAACAGCAGCATATTTGTACAAAATTCTACTTCATCCCATCAATAGCTAATCGCATCTCCACATGCAGTAGCTACTGAAAAAAAAAGAGGACTGCATGCATTTCCTTGTGGCATAGATGACTGCTGTATGAAAAGCAAACTGAATCAACCTATCCTGGTCAACTCTTAACAGTACCTGCAAAGTAGCTCAAATCAGAAGCCTGATGATCACATAAAAAGGGTTAACTTTATTTGTATATTACTAAGGAAAATAAAATTAAGAGCTAAGTAGAGTTTAAACCACTGTCAATTTCCTTCAACTGACTTGACAGTTCCAGAAGGACGCTCTTTTTCTTGGATGGGGATGGGAGTAAATGATGGAGTTTGGGACAGGGTTCCTCTGTGTAGACCAGGCTGGCCTCGAACTCACAGCGATCCACCTGCCTCTGCCTCCCAGAGTACTGGGATTACAGGCACGTGCCACCATGTCTGGGCTGGACACTTTGTTATCCCACTATAAGTACATTTTAATAATTGTTCAACATATAGGGCAAAAGGTGAACGGAACAGTTAAAATTTACTCTCATCAGATACTGAGAAATATAAACTAAAGTGTTTCCACTAGAGATCAACTACAAACAAAAAATTCAGACACAACCTCTAATCAACGTTTTCTAAGATTCTCAGTGATTCTCTTAACTTTCTCCTCCAAGCCGAGAATCAGTCACCATCATCTGCTTGAACAATGTAGTTTTTATTTCTCAAATGAATGGAGGAAATATCCTGAAAAACCATTCCCAACTACAGCTTGGATACCTACTTTTTAAGTCAAATGGTGAGCTTAAGTTCTATACTGGACTATAATGTAAATTTAGTTGAGTGCATTACTGTAATGCCAGTTTAATAGAGGGCAAAAGGCTGTAAGCATTAAATCTTTTAGGGGTTTCTTGAAGCATAATCAACATATAATAAACTATACAGACTAAAATGCCTAATTTGATAAATCTTGACATATTTAGATAAATATCTAACTTCTGAAAACCCACATCTCCTAATTACCCTTCTTTTGTCAAAAAAAAAAAAAAAAAAAAAGGATTTTTACTTACTTTCATGTAATTCACAATCTTAGCAAGAACGCCAAACTTATATCCAGAACTGCCAGTTAGAGCTTTCAAGTTAAATGATCCATTGCTATGATCTGGAAATGAAGTTCAAAAGAATTATAATAACATTTTCATACAGTATGTTATCAATGACTTGAGCAATGAAAACAATTTTAACTTTGCTTAAATATTCATCTTTGAGGCCAGTCGTGGCAGAGCACGCCTTTAATCCCAGGCGGAGGCAGTGAACTCCGAATTACTGTGAATTCGAGGCCAGCCTGGTCTACAAAGGGAATCCTTGACAGCCAACACTACACAAAGAAACCCTATCTCGAAAAAGTAAAAAACAAACAAAAAAACTTCTTTGAATTTCTTCATCTAATCAAGTCTGTCCTGTAATATTTTGGCAAAACTCACAAGATTCATGCATGTACAGTGAATTATCAATTCCCATCATGCACCCATCCTCCTTTAGAGAGAGGGTCTCACTATGTAGTACAGGTCAGTCTCAAATTCACCATCCTCCACCTCAGCTCTGAAGTGCTAGAATTATAAAGTTACACTGTTCCTACACTAAATGTAATTTATTAGCATTAAAATATAGTTTGGGGAAGTAGAGCACCGGAAACCAAATTCAGGGCCTTGTGTGGGTTAGGCACTCGAACAATAAGCTACAGTCCGACCTAGCTCAAAATACTCATCTTTTGTTGTTTTTGTTGGTTGGTTGTTTTGAGACAGGGTCTCACTATTAGACAACACTAGCCTCCAACTCAGAGAGCCACCTGACTCAGGCCTCTCACATGGAATTAAAGGTCTATGTCACCACGTCCAAATCAAAACACAATTCTTAAATTTGTTTCATTTAAATTCTTAAATTCTTAAATTTGTTTCATTCCACTCCTAGCTTAAACCTGATTAGAGCCCTCCAATAATTAGACAAGAGAACATTATAAACACAAGAAATGAGTGATGGTCAGACTGATATGTATCTCCTTATAATTTCCTCTTCAACTCTGCCTCCCTTCTTGCCCCTCTCTCAGAAATCCTTACATATTGTTTCAAAATGATTTTGCTGCCTCCCTAGAGAAAGAACCCCAATGCCATCATTGTATCACAAATTGCATTTGAACCAAAGACAGAAAGGTTAAAAAAAATTCATTTTAAGTACAAGAAGAACATTTCAGAAGCACACATTTTATTACCAAGACCAGATCAGATATAAACTTCCCACACGGCTGTTCCACAAAGAGTGAGTGGTTAGATAGAAAAGAGGAAAGCCACCTCTGGTATTAGCTTGGTAATAACCATTTAAACAAAAGACTGCATTAGAACAACCATAGGCAAATGTAACAATTGTCAGAGATCCAAAACAAATTTCTAGATGCAGCATATTACTTTGAAATTAGCTAGTGAAAAGTCTTTATTTATTGAACGTTTTCTTTCCTTTGATACTAAAATACAATGTCCTTTGGAATTTTCCCTTAAAAATAGCTTATAATTTTGAAAAGTAATTGCCACATTAAAATATGTTTCCAAACTAACAATATTAAGAATGCCTTACTGGAGCCAGGCATGGTAGTGTACGCCTTTACTCCCAGCCCTCAGGGAGGCAGAGGCAGGCAGATCGGTGTGAGTTTGATGCCTTTACATATTATTTTAAAAGCCTAGGGTGGTGGCATAATTATAATCTTAGAACTTGGCAGGCTGAAGCAGGATCACAAAAGAGGTACATAAAAGAGATCAGAGAGGGGAGAGGGGAAATGATGTAATTATATTATCTCAAAAAAAAAAAGATGTCTGCTGCTCTTTCAGAGGCAATGAATTCAGTTCTCAACACCCACTTCTGTGAGGGAAATGATTTTTAAGAAGCCAGTCTGACTCCATGACAGGCTTCAAAATTGGCTTCATACTGAATAGGCCTGAGTTTCTATTTCTTAGAACACAAAACTACAGTTCATGGAAACCAGATATAGTAACTTAATATCCTCTCTGAAAACTAGAAACAATAACTTAGTAAAGTCCCCAAGCACCTGACCAAATTAAAGGTCAGTTAGAAATGCTTTATTTAGCTAATCAAAGTGTTATCTGGGAACACTTTGTTATCCAGACACTCCAAGAACTCCCCCAACTACAGAACCAATCATGAGTCTCCTGTAGCCCCTAAATCAGCACCAACCAATCAATGTAAATATTACCTAACCACATTAGGAAATCCCCTGTCTTTAAACTGAGCCTTTGTGCTTACTTTGGGGTCACCATTCTATGGAATGGTTGTCCCTGCATGCTTTTGCATACTATCTGAGTCTGAGGTCTTCCTTCAGCAATTCCCAGACCTAACACCTATAACTCTATCCAGGGAACCTAATGCCCTCTTCTGGACTCCAAGAATATTCACACACATGTGGCATACACTTACATAGACACATACAAAATAACACATTATCTATCTATCTATCTATCTATCTATCTATCTATCTATCTATCTATCTATCTATCT